GGGGGGGGGGGGGGGCTCACAGATATAAACATGTACTCTACCCATGGGCTATATATACCAGCTGTTAGATTCAGGTTCTAGCCTACTTGAGTGTGGTTTCACTTTAACCTGGCTATACCTGCTAAGACTGTGTTTACCTCAGGTCATATTCACAGTACTCGGGGTTAGGACTTTAACATCCCTCAGATACACAGTATTCAACTGCCTAATCTATTCCCCACCCCTACCCCCATATCCCACTGTAATTCTGATGATTAGTTTTAAATGTCAACTTACCACAACCTAGAATCACCTGAGAAGAAAGTCTCAGTTGAGATTGCCTAGGTTAGGTTGGCCTACGGGCATGTCTGTGGGGTCTGTCTTGATTGTGACTTAATGGAAAAAGATACAGCCCATTGTGGGTAGCACCATTCCCTAGGCAGGGATCCCTGAGCTGAATGAGACAGAAGCTAGAGGAAAACTAGCAACAGCAAGCAATCAGCAAACAGATATTTGTTTCTCTTTGCTCTTGACTGTGGATATGGTGTGACCAACTGTCTCCTGCCACTGTGACTTCCCTACTCTGACGGACTGGAACCTGGAACCTGGAACCATAAGCCAAATAAGCTCTTTCCTCTCCTAAGTCAGGGTGTGTCATTACAGTAACCGAAATGTCCTAAGTCAGGGTGTGTCATTACAGTAACCGAAATGGAAGTGGAACAGTAACAACCAAGGTTCTCAGTTTCAAACCCGAACAATAAACATTAGGCAGTAGACTTATTAAAAAGAAAGTTAGCTAATAAGAGGCTTGAAGTAAATAAAGAATCAGATGTAGGTTAGAAGCAGTGTGGCGTCCTCCTCTGAGGACTGGGAAGGCCATCGGTCCACTACCACCAAGCATGGACTGCTTAGGTTTCTCCCACTGAAGCCATGAACACTGGAGACCAGGTTCATTTCTGAGAGTTCGTCCCTCAGGACACTGTGAGAAAGAGGTCTCTCCATTTACTTTTATGACTGGGTACCATAGGGAATCCCCTGGGTCCCATCCATATTCCTCCCTACTTCATTATTTAATATGTAGAGTATGTCTTAGGAGCTCTACGCTCCATGTTCCTTTA